TTGCACAGAGGGGAATTGGTGAGCACAGGATGAGACCTCTTAAAGCCTCAGGGTGAGAAGCTTGTCGTAATCATCTGCGCTGACCACAGAGATCTGTTCCACAGGCCCACGCAAGAACCTGTAGAGAAAGACTTTGCAGTTTTCTTCCTTGGCTGCAGATGCATAAAAGATCTGCAAAAAAAAATCAAATGATATCTTCTATTCCCCTTTTTCCTGGAGAAGACAAGCAGCCTGCCCTCTGTCTCATCCAGTACATGAACAAGGAACAGCGCTGCGGTTCTTCGGAGCTTCTCCCACCTTCGTTGCCTCACTGAAGGAAGGTGGATGCCTGGGACGAGCAGCAGGGCACGCCTCCATCTCCTGCTTTGACTGCCTGCAGTCCGACAAGCAGAGCCTGCAGCGGTTCCTGCTTTACCGGGGCAGGTGGAGGAGATGGTGCCGTGCTGGTGGTCTCACCAAGTTTCCCCTGGGGTCACTGGCTCTTCTTCATCAGGGCAATTGAAGAATGGAGGAAGAGACTGAAATCTCTTGCCATGGTCTTGCTGTACTCGCTTCTCACTGGAGCTGAGGCTCTTCCCCAGTAGCTGGCATTGCCACCCCTTGATTTCTGGGAACAGCCAAATCCTCCCCAACGCTGCTGCGCAAGGCCTCAGGTGGTGGCAGGAGGGAAATCCCAACAAAGGAGTTGCTGAAACGCAGCCCCACCTTGGAGGCTGAGGACCCCTAAGAGATGGCAAGTCCCAGGGTCACGACAGCATGGTTACCCGCAGTCTTGCTGCAAAAAGGCTCATTTGGGAAGGCTGGCTCTCCAAATTCCTGCAACAGAAACCACGCACGCCCCAAAAGGCTGGAAACCAGATACAACATGCCTGTTGTTGCCTTTTCTGTAACCAGAAAAATGTCAACAGCTATCCCAGAAGCCTCTACCGCCCCAGAGCTCAGTCAGAGTTGGAGGAGGTGGAAGCAGGAGGTACTGGTGCAGTTTTGCCCCCAGCCTGCAGCCTGTTGGCCCGGTGCCGTGTTACAGGGGTCAGATTTAAGGCTTTAATCTTATGACATGATCCAAAGTCACTGACGGGCCCTGGTGCCGGGGCAAGCTCTCCTTTGGTGTGGCCAAGCACCACGGACGTGAGAAGGTCACCTCACACGATCTGGGCACATCACTGGAAAAGGCTGCAGGGATGGCTTGGGAAGCACGCGGCTGCAGGGGCCAGATAAAGCACAGCCTACTGCTAGAAGCATAGAGCTCCTAATTACAAGCAGCAACAGTGAAACATGGACTTAGCGAGAACCAGCAGGCAGAGAATGGCTTTGTCAGAATCACTGGTGGCTTTTGCTGTTAAAATGTGAAGATGCGTGACTCGCCATGGGGACCTGGCCCCGTTTCCGTCTCCGCCTGCTGCTGGAAGCACACTCTGCTCTGCCAGCCAGGCTGGCTGGGGAGGACAGGCCATTTGTCACGGCTGTGACAGTCCCAGTTGCGGCGGTGCTGATGTATCTTGCCAACAGCATGACGCTTCTCTGCTTCCTCTGCTCATAGACAGGGCCAGCCTTTGCTTGCCCCGAGCCTGTGGGTGCGCATGGAGCTGGATTTGTCGATCTGGGCAGGATCTGACCGGGTTGCTGTGAAATGAAGGAGAGAGACAACCCACAAAAGGCAAATTTAGGAGCTGGAAATACAGCTCTGCTCCCCAGCAGGCAGGCACGCACTAAGAAAACCGAGCAGCCATGGCAGGAGGCTGGGTATCCCCACAAGCCCACGACGAGGAGACCCTGGGGATGGAGTCCCTGTGTGCAGGAGCGCTGTGGCAGAGCAGGCAGAGGCAGGTCATGAAGCATCTGCATCGCGCTGTGCTGTGCCTCTCTGCTCGCTGGGATCCAAGAGCCAGCCTTCAGGCAGACATGGCCTGACGTGGCCTTGGGAGACTCCAGGGCCAAGGGTGTGCTCGTGGGGAGAGCAATGGCCAAACGCGGAGTGGAAGTGGGTCCGACCACCAGGTAACAGCTACGGGAAAGCAGCAAAAGCTTTGGGAGGAAGGTAGAATATCAGTTTCCTCCCCAAAAGAGATGGTGGCATCCCAAACAATCAAATCATTTGGAAAAGGTTGGGAAACCCTAGTTAGGAGAGCGAGCTGATTGTCTTCCTTCGCCTGGAAAGAAATTTTCTGTCTCTATCCATCCATGCAGTGCAGTTCTTGGTGCTTTCCTCCCCAGACGGCCTTGCTCACACACTCCCGCAGCCTGTGCTGTGCTGGTGGGCTCTCAGCAGCCACAAGCGTGGAACGCAGCCTGCATCTGGACTCTTAGGGAATATTTGTGGGGTCTCCCTGCCGGCAGTGCTTCCTTCACGCTGGAAGCTGCCTGGCAAACCCTGGGGCAAGGGCACCCTCTGGGGACCAGGAGAGACATAAGCAATGAGACTCGACATTTCTCAAATCACTTCTTTTCATGTGGCCTTTGCGTTTGCAAGTGCATTTCGTGGTGGCAACATGTGCTAGCCTACTTGCCCAGAACGAGGACCCTGCTGGAGAGGGCCAGCTTGCCCCGCCGCGTCTCTGCTACGATGGGACAAGCTGTCCGAGCCTCTCCAGAAAGAGCAGAAGAGACCTGAGGGGGACACAGCAGCCCTCCAGTTTGTAGAAAAAGCAGAAGTCATGCTGTTTAGGGATAACAAGAGGATGTGTTCCAAAAGAGACTGTTCTGCATCCAGCTGAGGATGGGATACACACGGGTACCCTCCTCCCCACGGTGGAAGGGGAACTGATGGGAGCAGCGCAGGTGGGTGCTGCTGCCTCTTTGCTGCCTCCCACCCCATCAGCCTGCATCGGTGGGGGGCGGGGGGAGTGTTGCTTCAGTCACACAGCTCCAGATCTGCCTTAAAGGCAAGAGGGTTAGCCAAAAAAAGATTTCTAAATGCAGCAAGAAATTCCCAAGTTTGACAGCTGAGAAGATTTTATTTAAGTTATTATCTCCCACACTGAGCATAGGCTTCGTCCTGGGCTGGCGGCCGCCTGCCATGCTCCTCGTGACTCCCTGCGGGGGCCTGAGCTGGAGGTGGTAGGAGGCAGGGGGAGAAATGCCGCTGTAAAGGGTAGATGTGCGGACTAGTAAAACCGTAGCATAAAAAAAAATCCCCCACAAGCATAAAGGATAATAAAAATTTGGTTTCTGCCATTTTTATTTGCCAGCCTACCTTTCCCCGTTTGTGAGGAAGGCAGCTCTCGCTTCACCACACCAAGGGCGCTCCCAGACCCACACTGCCACTGGAGGCGTTTTTAGCACTTTAATACCAGAGAGGCTGGATGGCAGCTGCCGACGTGCTTCTCCCCTCAAGGAAGGGAACATACCCATCCCTTCAGGAAAATGTAAAGCCGTGATTTATGTGGGAAACATTTTGCATTGGTGGGTTGGTGGTCAGTGATGGAACCCGTGAGTCCGCAGGCTCGACCCTGGCAGAGCTGATAGATCCTGCTTGAAGACTTCTGCATTTTCTGAGCTGGAGCGTTGAGTCCTGACATAAATGAAAGCAAATGTTGGTCTGTTCACTTACCTGCTGTTACCTCGGGCCAGAGCTCTCCCGAGCCCTGCCTGTGTTCCCTCACTTTGCTCAGACCCACCCTCGCAAACGAGACCTCTCACGTGTCATCTTAAAATCCCTGGAGACATAAAATACACCACGTATATTGTCTTTCCTGGGACATCTTAGTTATGCATGGGCTGTGCTAAGCCTGCAGCCTTTCTTTGTTAAGCCCAACTGCGTTAAGCCTGCAGCCTTTTGTGCGCTTCAGCGCCAGGGGAGCTTGGGCAGTTTTGGGTGTGCTGTTGGAGACCCTGAGCACAGGAACATCATGCAGACGTTTCGAGGGCAGGCTTCTTCCCCTGCCCACCCTGGGCTTGGGGGCTTCCAGCTCAGACCCTGCTGCCAGGGGAACATTTGGGCGCCATGGACTCATCTTGCGTCCTCTCTCTGCAGGTGGCGGCTGTGGAAGTCGCCCTGCGCTAAGCAATGGGAGTGCCTGCAAACCGCGACACCAGCTGAAACGGCAGCAAATCTCCCTCCTGCGAGGAGCAGCCCCGCGATGCCGGAGGGTAGGCTGCAGGAATCTGGAGGTCTTCCCATAGGAATTTTCACAGCACTTTGAAATCTCTTTTCAGTTCCAAAATAGCAAAGGCGGGATGGTGCCTCCCCTCTGTGCTGCCATCTCTTGGAAGTCGTCATGGCCCTGGGCTCCCCCCGCCACTTAGGGATGCTGGTCACATGGACAGCAACACCTAAAACTCGCTGTTGCTGAGAAAAGTGAAAATGTTTTGACATTTCCTATGTTTAGACAAAACTGCCGTGTGCGAAGGCAGAAGCCTGCACACAGTATTTCAAGTTTTATTTGCGCGTGCTCATGCCCAGCATCTGTCCTACGGGAAAGCTGAGCTTCAGTGGCGGACACCTTCTAACACATCAACCTTTGTGAGCATCTCAGAGATATGAAAGAGACTTTTGCAACTGGGAGAGGTTTTTGAATACAGATTTATTTGAACTATTAAGCCTGAAATTTAGAAGGTACAGAGTGGGAATTTGACTGTGCCCATTGCTACCTCAAGCGAGATCTTCAGCAAGCGCAGATTAGGCAGTCTGCCTGAAGTGGAGGCTGTAAAGTAACCTGTACAACCACATGGATCCGCTGGTGTTAGGCCATTTCACATTTTATCGGAAGTACACTACAGCCCTGGAAACTCCAGGTTTGCCAGAGACTGTTCTGATTATGAACATAAGCAAAAGGACCTGGCTCTGAACAAAAGGCTAAACGCACAGTTGAGGAGTAGAGGGAATCTACAGGAGGGAGAAGAAGTGGAAATGCCTTATTTTCTCCAGTAGCTAGGAAATTACCAACCTCAGCACAGACCCCTAGGACCCCAGGCTGGGCCATGACCTGTTTTGCCTTTTTCCATCTCTTTGCAGAGCCAGAATTAGCCTCAGGTTGGACAGAAAGGACATAAAAATGCAGCTAGCAGTAGGGAGCTGGTTTGACGAGGACAGCGGAAGCTTTGCAGTTCCTATTGCACAGGCTGCCCCACGCTATGCCCCCCTTGACGTTCAGCCGTACGGAGTAACATGCTGAGTACCACCACCCACCCCCAGAGCTGGAGGCGCAGTTCCCACTGGAAGTGTCCTGATCCAGGTCTTTAGTGGAGAACTTCATGTTGTCGTGCACGGTGGAAGCACTGTTTGAGGTCATGGCATCCCCTGCTGACCCCGAGTACGTTCCCAGACGCAGCCGGTAGCCCTGGGACTCATCTTCCAGGCTGAAGAGGTTGTAGTCTGCGAACTTGGTGTTGTTTGTGGCATCCCAGATGACAAACCTGACCTGGTAGACCTTCTGGTTGGCGATCTGATGGATGTACTCGGTGCCCAGCCAGTAGTCAGTGTGCACATTCCCAAAGCCGTATTTGTAGGTGCTCCAGGACTCGGCCCAGGTGATCTCCGTGCCCTGCCGGTTCCTCTGGATGACCGTCCAGCCCCCGTCCGTCACGTTCATTTCGCAGTACACCACGATGGGGTGCAGTCCCGTGGGCTGGATGGCGTAGATGTCGCTGGGGCTGCCAGCGGAGATCTCGCTGCAGTCCTTGGGCCAACCTGGGGTAGGAGAGAACACAGAGGACCAACAGGCACAGTAACACTCCAGTCTGCTTGGCTGGCCCTGTGAGAGGGATTTCTAGAAAATGAGCCTATGTGGGATTTTGCCAGTGTCTGTCTTACTGTAAGTGTAAAAGCAGAAAATCTCTGTAAGGGAAATAGAGAGCTTAAGAGAATTTGGACACATTTTGAAGGTATAAGCATGGAATTTGTTTCTCCTTCTGGTTCAGGCTCTTGTTTCCTCAGCCTTTCCCAATGTTCAGATGTTTCTCCTCCATTATAGCAATACAGGAGTCCAAGCCTGGCTTGGTGAGGGCTTTTATTACACAGTTATGCAGAAGCTTAAATGAGCAAGTAGGCTGCTCCTACAGCCCTGGCATCCACTGCAATCCCTGGGGTCAGGAAGGAAAAAACTTCATTCCCTTGGCACCAGACACCGTGGCCAACTGTGAAACCCTGGCAAGCGTTGCTTGGGAGGCACAGCCTCTGCTCGTCCCGTGCAGAGCTTCCAAGCAGAGGAGAGGGCTTGTGGTGTGCGAGCAAAGGTTGCACAGTCCTTTGGGATCTTGCAAGGCACGGTTCAGCGTGCAGCTATCACTAGCAAAGAGCAATGTCTTAGTGGCCCTGGCACGCGCGCCGGAGGAGCAACTCGAGCCTTGCCCCTGGGAGCTGGGCTGGGTTATCCCCAGGCTCGTTGCCCACCCACTGCTGCTGGAGCCTCCCTGTTCCCTGCGGGGTGGCGGGGGCGCTTACTGTGGCGTGCTGTCTGCTGGGGGCCACCCACTCTGCTCTGCTGCACGTTCTCTCCATCTGCTTTGGGAAAAACAGTGAGAGTGAGATGAGCGGCCCTGTGCCCCAGTGCAGGGTAACTACGGCCTCCCCAGAGTGTTATTTCCAGCCCTGAAGGTTTTTGTAGGGCACTTCAGCAATGCCACTGGGCTCGTCTTTCTTCCTGCATGGTAGTTTTTGGCTGTAAGCTCTTTAAAGTGATAAGATACCAGGAAGGGTAACGCTGCAGTCATTGGCCCACTCAGCAACGTGGCTCTGCAGAGCAGCGTGGAGCGGACTGCGCACCCAAGTGGTAGTGATGAGTACAAGGAGATACTGCAGAAGGAGAAGGATGGAGAGGGATAGAGAAGGATGGAGAAGGATGGAGAAGGATGGAGAGGGATGGAGAGGGATGGAGAAGGATGGAGAGGGATGGAGAGGGATGGAGAAGGATGGAGAAGGTGTGTGAGTTCAGACCAAGATTAAACTGTCAAGTGACGTTGCTATAAACCTGCATTGCTTTTCAGTGGTGGCTGAAGGGATTCATTTGTTCATTCAATCCATACAGAGCTGCAGAACCCTTCAAAGAGGAAAGGAACTCAAAGCATATGAGACAGCAATGCTCTCTTTACAGAGAAATCACAGCACCCGTCCTTGTAACACAGTATTCCCCGAGAGCCCCAAAGTGTGACCATGGTCAGTGGTGGGACAAGGGGTTCTGTGCCGTTCAGCCATGTGCAAGCTTCGGGAAGCATTTTGGTTGGTCACATCTACAAACCTTCTCTGAATTTTCAGGCCACAGATGGACAGCAGAGAGTAAGAGAAAATCTCTTCCTTTGCAGACCTACAGCTCTTGAGAAAAAGCCGCCACGCAAGGGGGCTGAACTGGCAAATGTTGCGATATTTGGTTAAGAGCTGAGATGGGAGGAAGATTTGATCAGGATCCTTTTATTTCTGAGTGCGAGTGCCCTTCTCCAGGATTGCCTTCCACACCCCCACCCCATGCAGAGCTGGGGGGCTCCTGATGTTTGGGTGAACAGTGTTTAGGGGTGTAAGAGAGAAGACACCAGTGCGGGGCTCACCTGAGCGGAGATTAGTGATGTCCTCTAACCTTGCATTCAGTCTTTCCAGGTTTTCGATGCGCAGGGCGAGGAGCGGGGCTAGCAGAGCCAGCAGGGAGGCGGCGAGCAGCAGCTCAGAGTGACGAGCAGCTGGAGAAAAGAAGACACATGGTGAACCTGGAGACGCAAACCCTCTGAAAGAGAACCGGCTAACTAACCACAGCAGAAGTTAAAACAAACTCACAGGGTGGACAAATCCACACCATGAATTATGCTTTTGCTTTACTGAGCAGCAGAAGTATAAAGCGCCATTCCCCAAAATAAGCCTTCTGCAGCAGCATACATCCCCAGAGGGAAACAATTCCTTTGACTACAACCCACAGGTCTAAATTTGCAGCTTCCAAGAGCGGTGCCATCCCCTTTGGCTGTGGCCTGGGCTAATGCAATGGGCTTTGTGCCCCAGAACTGAGGTGCTAAGCCAGCATCCATGTGCGTGCCTTGGGAAAAGCACCTCCTAGCAGTGCCGGGGGGTATGCAGGTTCGTAGGTACAGCTGTTCCCTGAAGACAGCCGGGAGCTACTACAGCAGTAATAAAGAAGGTGCAGGGACCTGAGCTCTTGGGAAGAAAGGAGCTGCTGTGGCCACAACACTGATGGTATCCTGAGAGCCAGGGGCTTCACTTAATGGTCCCAGAATGGCCCCCTCCCACCAGGGCATTGTGCAGAGGCTGGAAGCTGCCCACAGCAGGAGAAGGCCAGGAGAGGATCCGGCAGGGAGCCAGCAGCATTGATCCAGCATCAGGCCCTGCTACGCCTCACAAATGGGGCTTGGATGCACAGGGACACACCAAGGGCCAGTGCCACCCGGCTGGCGCCTGGGCTGGAACATTCCATGCTTTAAAGGACGGTTTCTGCCAGCCTCTGACAACCTGAGCAGTTTGACGCCTTTGGACCACACCAGTGCAGGACATTCCCCAACAGTTTGTTCATGGCCAGCTCTATAGATTGGTGTCTACACCTTGCCCACCCAGCTTCAGTGCCCTTAAGGACTTATGAGGGTGATTGGTGATTAATGCATTAATTAGCTTCCATTCCAATTTTAGGGGTTTTTTTTGGTGGTGCTTTGGGCTCTGGCACAAATATAAGTTAAATAAATGTTGCCTCTACACCACCACCCAGCACAGCAGAGTTTTGCCCGTGGTCAGGAATGGAGGAGAGTGAGGAGCAGGAGGGGGACAGAGGCCTGGGGGTGCAGCACGATTGGGGTCACCCCGCCATCCCAAGGTCAGGAAGGGTCAGTGGGAAGAGCAGAGTGGCAACGCAGGCAGCAGAAGCCCAGGGGCAGGCAGGGGAGGCGGGGGTGCCCTGCGACCCACAGGGGTGCCGCCCCCTCCCACCTCATCCCACACTCACCCATGCCCTCTCTTCACAGACGCTGTGGCACAGGAAGCGGTAGCTTTGCCAGGCAGCCGACCCTGCCATTATATAGGGCTCAGGGGATGAGGTGGGGCCAGCTGGGCCAAACCCTGGCACTCGCCACCCAGGTGGC